TTCCTTCCCCTTGACGCTTTTTCACCCACCCTCCCTTTCTCTCTCTCTCCCTCGTCATGCACACAGGGTAGGCTGAGGAGTATCGATATCTGAGAGGGCGCACGGCGTCACCCCGTAGAGAAAGGAGGAAAAAAGTTATAAGGCAAAAAAGGCCAAATACAAAGAAGAGGCAGCAAAAAAAAAACGCACGCACACACGCACAAACAAGCAAGAGGTGCATCGGGGGAAGGCCGCGATCGAGATGCCCCCAAGACGTGCGACTGAAGAAGGTGAGGAAAGCACAGAGGAGGAAGAAGAACTCGAAACGACCACGGGATCTGAAGAGCAGAGTGAAGTGGAGGCGCCTGTGAAGAACGTTGAGGTGGAAACGGCTGCGGTTTCAGAGGGTTTGCTGGTAAACAATCCAAATGACGAGAAATACGTCGTGAAGGATGCGCGGCCTGTGCGTACTCCTCCTGATAAACCTTTGGAATCGGAAACGTCGGAGGACATCCGTCTGGAGTCACAGGCGCTCGCAAAGGATACGAGTAAGCCTGAGGCCAGTCGGAGGGGTCCAGCTCAGGCTACCGCACAGCTTTCGCTTGGCGTGGATGTTCAGAAGCTGCATAATAAACCTAATGACGAAATGGTAATGGTAGAGGATGGACTCAATATTCCCACACCCCGCGGGAACGGCAAAGACAGTGAAGCTGGAGGCGGTTTAATTCTGCGGAATGCGCCTCATGATGAAGCAATTCCTTTGTCTACCATGGGCAGCTCCGTCGGTACGCCCAGCAAACAGGCTCCTGGGCAACTCGGTGCAATGGCGCCCACCGATGACGAAAGTAGCGCAGACGAGGAGGCCGAAGAAGTGGAAGGTCACTCCCGCGGCTATACCAATCAACGACCCGAGGCCATTGATACGGAGACCGAGATAAAGACCAACGTGATCCCAAACCTTGAGTACAACCCACAGGATTACGCCAAAATTAACAGCACCGCCAGCCGGGAGATGCAGGAACTCTTTAAATACATTCTTGATTACCAGCCCGTTATACCGGAACTTCCAGCAAAATTGCGTCCATTTATCCCTGACTACGTCCCGTCCGTTGGAGACCTTGATCCCTTCTGCAAGATATCTCGCCCAGATGGGCGACCAGATGGATTAGGTCTTTTTGTTTTGGATGAACCTTCTGTGTCGCAGTCTAATCCTGCCGTCGTTTTGTTAGAACTTCGTGCAACAAACATTCACTCCAGCGGTGGTTTGGCGGAGGTGGTAGACTCCTTTGAGGATGCCGCCAATCGGCCGGAAGTCATTGACCGCTGGATTGCGGATGTCAAGAAGGTGCACTACAAGAAACCCTTGCCGACGACCAACTACCAAAAACCCATGCCCGAGATAGAGTCCCTGTTACAGGTTTGGCCCCCTGTGTTTGAAGAGTTTCTTAGCTCGGATATTCAGTTTCCCCCGCCGCATATTGACATGGACCTGGACCAGTATGTGCGCACCCTCTGCTGCATTCTTGACATTCCCACCTACAACTCACTTGTGGACTCATTGCATGTGATGTTCACGGTCTATCAGGAGTTCCGGGCAAACCAGCATTTTCAACATGAATAGATACGATCCCTTCTCTTCTTTCTTTTTATTTTGCTTAGGTTGAAGAAGGGAAAATAAAATAAATGAAAAGAAAATAAAAAACTGGTGGTTTTGTGTGGGGTGGGCAGTGCTTGAATCTTCACCTGTGCCGAGTGGAAGGAGACGAATGGAGTAGAGTAAGCGCAGGAAACGCGGCACATGCATTACGCATTGTGTCTGCCTTATGTTTGATCGAGGCGATAGAGAAGGATTCCTTCATTAGTCGTGAATATGATGTAGAAGATGCTTCAACTTGGGTTCGAATTCCTCCTCTTGTTTTTTTTTGGTTTTCTTGTAACCGCTGCTAGTGTTTGCTTTATCTGCTTGATTTGTTTTTGTTTTTTTTTCCCCCCACTTCTTGTTTTGTTGTTGTTGTTTTTTACCTGTGTGTGTGGTGGCATTGCTATTTAGCGGAACGAACCTGGTATACCCGTAGGCAGAGGCGGCTTCCCTATGAGTTCCCCAACGTGGTCTGTCTACGGGGGCGAATGGGCCGGCCTCTGCGATGACGCCGAGAGCATCCCACCGGAGCTTACCTTGAAAGGGTGTGGGCTGCGCCAGAAGTGCCTTCTGCAACGTGGGGCGCAGGGTGCCGTGTACCTGGGTGAAGACGCCAATGGAAACGTGTTTGCGGTAAAGCGTATTTTTACGCAGCGCAATGAGTCTGGGATTCGAGGCGTCTCGGAGGGATCACTTCGGGAGGCCACACTACTTACCCACATCGCCGAAAAGTCAAAGGCACTCGGTCGCGAACCTCCGTTTGGAGTCATCCGTTTGGAAGGAGTTGTGGAGGCCCCATTCCAAGAACTGTGTCTCATTCTGGAACGGTGCACGTTGGATTTGTCGTGGATAGTTCTTTACAGGGGAAAACGATCGCATGGCGCCGCCGCCTCCTTCCCAGAGCCTCCCACTCGATGCCCTATTCTCGCCAAGATGCATGTCATTCAATACCTCATGCGGGGGATCCTTGAGATTCTTCGCTACCTCCATGAGGAGTGTCACATTATCCACCGAGATGTGAAGTTAGCGAACCTACTTGTGGGGGAGGATGGACGTGTGCGTCTTAGCGACTTTGGTAGCGCACGGTTGATGCATGAAGTGGCGGAGGAAATGCCTGATGTGAAGTCTGCCGAGTACACGCCTACGTCTCTTCGGACGACCGTGATTTACCTGGCCCCTGAGTGTCTCCTGGGTGAGCGATGCTACACGGCGGCTGTGGATGTGTGGGCAGCCGGGGTTGTCTTTGCGGAATTACTCTTGCAACAGCATCTTTTTCGCGGCTGCAGCGAACTGGAAATGCTCTCCGGCATCTGGAAGCTCCTCGGCACTCCCTCCGATGATCCAGCCTCAACTGCAGGCGAGCAGGCCGTTACGTATGCTGTGCGCCTAGAATCGACCCTCGCGCTGAGGTTTCCCGAAAGCATTGTTTCCTCAGAGGGCCTAGATCTGCTTAAGCGCATGCTTGAGCTGGATCCGAAGAGGCGCATCACCGCCGCTGAGGCTCTTCGTCACCCTTTTCTAAGCGGTCCCGCAGTTGAATTGCACCAGGCAGAGGCCCGGCTACTGTGGCAAAATAAAGTGGAGGCGTGCATGAAGGAGGCGGCGGCGCAGCCTGATAGAGTGGGAATGCATTCCTTTTCTCTGGGCGATGATGCATCTAATGAAGGGAGTGACGAGAGGGAGAACGATGATAACTTATGGGGCTTGTGATGCTTCTCACCATATGTTAATGCTTTGCCTGTTTCTCATGTGTCTGCTCCAACACCACCAGCAGACACAAAACCTGAACACAATTCAGATACTAAAACAACAACGACATCAAAAAAATTCCAGATGGATGCAGAACCTCAGATAAAGGAAGTTTTAGCATCTGTCTAAGATGGGTTAGGTACCTCTTCACGGATACTCACCGCACTCTCTGCGTGTCGTTTTCATCCTCAGCCACATTTTCTTTTTCATTATTCCTTTCTGTGTCTGTGTGCCTTTGTCAAGTGTCAGCTTGTTGTTCCTCTCTTTCTGTGCGTCTGCATTTTATTCCGTTATCACTTCATTTTCATACTCCTCTTTTCCTGCCGTCGTTGTGGCATCTTCCGCAAACACCGCCCGTTAATGCTTTGTCCTCGCTGGCACGGGGTTCAAGGTTACAGACGATACGAATACGTGAGGCGCTGTGGCACCAACATGTACTACCGCACGCTTGGGGTGAAGCGTCGTGCGACGCAGGAGGAGATCCGCAAGGCATTTCGCTCTACGGCTGTGCAGATGCACCCCGATAAACCTGGTGGGTCTGTCGAGCTCTTTCAGGCCCTCCAAACCGCGTACGAGGTGCTGAGCAATGAGAAGAAGCGTGCCCTCTACGATGCGGAGTTGGCGAAGCAGCGAAGTAAGCTGCGCGGGTTTAAGCGGCCACCCGCGCTTGACAACATCCGCTCTCCAGTGCACTACAAATTGGCGGACGGTGAGTACTACGCATTTGAAACCGCCCCAGACTGCCTGAAGTGTAGATTTAAGCATGGCGACATTATCAGCTACAACGACAAGTTGGGCTGCTTTATTGGTCTCGGGGGAGACGACTATCTTTACTGGCGCCCTGACGACCAAGCACATGCGTCCAGGTTGTGTCAGAAGGGAAGTTTTGGGGTGGATAGTGTAAAAGTCGTGGTGCGTGCCAACTTCAAACCTTCCCACTCTGGGTACCCTCCCTCCTCCCTGCCACCTCGGGCCGCTGGCTCTGCCGCTGCAGGGACTCACGGGGCGGCGACGAATAAAGGGCGACCGGGCCAGGTCTCGAAGGCGGAGCAGCTGCGACAAGACATTATACGGAGGGAGCGGGAGCGGCGTTGCCGGGAATGCATCGCGGCGCTTGTTGAGGACGAGAAGAAGCAGCGCGTGCGCCTGGTAGAGAAAATTGAAGCCGACATGGAAGATGAGCGGCAGAGCTTCAGAGACTGGCGGGCGGCCGGCGATCTCGTAGTGGGGGTGGAGGAGCCGGCATGGATCACCCACGCGAAGCCACACGCGGCTGGGAAACAGGCCGGATTGCAACGCGAGGGCTCTGCAGTTTGCTAAGCGGCCGCAGAAGATATGCGTGGGGAAATGGGGGAAAAAGAGAGGAACGAAAAGGGAAGGGAGAGCGCGAAACTTGGGGAGTGCGCGTGAGAGCCGTGGAAGTAGACGCGGAGGCGTGTGGTACGTCAGACGCCGCCCCCATTTGGAGCCAATAATTTTTTAAAAAGAGCGAGAGTCGGGGGGAGAGCGAGACGGATATGTGCAATAATAAAATATTATACAGCGTAACACGTGTGAGTTGTGGAGTGCCACGCGAAGTGCACTAGATGAAAGACTCCACCCCCCGCCGAGTTGGCAGGCTTCGTTATATATCCATCAAACCACATGTAACAAGAAATGCGTTTTCATTGAAGATAGGCCACAAAAAAGCACACACACTTTTAGCCATCTTTTTTTTCCTGCGCTAGTGAGATTAGACGGCCCTGCCAATATAAAATCACCACTTATTTCCTTTTATTTTTTTTTCATTTTTTCCTCTTGACGAATGTTTCATTGCAATTGCACTTGATTCGTGTAACGCCAGCAGTCGTATGCATGCTTAGAAGCACAGAAAAAGGGGTTGAAGGAGAAGAGCAAAGGAGTGGGCCGAGAGGAGAAGAAAAGGACCTTTGTTTCCCTTCGGTTGCCTTTGTGTTTTCGGTTCCATGTGACCGGGTGAAACGTCTCTCTGGAATTTGTCACATCTCCTTCTATTTCATACTGCTTGTTGGTTTCCCTAAGATCCTCCCTCTCCCACTGAATCGCCCCATCCACGTCTACGTGTGTGTATATATATATGCATGTATGTGCATCTCTCGCCTCTGTTGTGCATTTTATCTGGTGCGCGCGTAGCTGATTCCCAGGGGGGGGGGAAGCAAGCGCAGACAACAACTTGTCTTTGCCCCACTTCAGTCTGCCTAGCAATGTCCCTGGACAAACCCCTCTTTTCTTTCGAGACGAACAGTGGCCCTAGTGCGTGGCGTGGCCAGAGCGGGGGTCATCACCTCCAGCCACAGCGGCAGCAGGCCCGGAGTGGCCTGTTTCACCTTCCGCACGGCCCACTGCGCACACCCATCTTTATGCCGGTGGCGACGCAGGCAGCGCTGAAGGGTGTGACGGTGGAACAGTTGGAGGAACTTGATGCGGAGATTATTCTCGGGAACACGTATCACTTGGGGTTGCGACCCGGGGAGGACGTCCTCAACGAAATCACACGGTTGAAAAATGCCCAAGTGAGTGCTACAAGCGGCAATGAGGCACCTGAGCTGGAGTCCTCGCGGATCCGAAACAACATGGATGGGATTCATTTCCTGCAGGGATGGCGACGGAATATTCTTACCGACAGTGGAGGTTTCCAGATGGTAAGTCTCCTGCGGCTCGCCAAAATCACTGAGGAGGGTGTGCGTTTTCAGTCAACTCACGGCGGCAACGGCGGAGGCGTACGAGTGGGCGAGAACAATAATGGCATCATTCATGGCAATAGTGCGGTCTATTCTAGCGAAGAAGACACGGAATACACGCTGTTACTGCGGCCGGAGGAAAGCATTCGTATTCAAAATGCCATTGGAGGTGATATCATGATGCAACTGGATGATGTTGTGCATGTTCTCACGACTGGACCTCGTATGGAGGAGGCCTCTAGGCGTACTGTACGTTGGTTGGATCGTTGTCTTGCTGCCAACATGAATCCCGATAAACAAGGAATATTTGGCATTGTACAAGGTGGCCTGGATGCAACGCTGCGGGCAGAGTGCCTTGCCGAGATGGTCAAGCGAACTGCCTGTAAGGGATACGCCATCGGGGGTTTGAGTGGTGGGGAGGCAAAGGAAGACTTCTGGCGAATCGTAGCCCAGTGTTGCAGGGGGCTTCCAAACGACAAGCCACGGTACTGTATGGGGGTGGGGTATCCAGAGGACATTATGGTGTGTATCGCACTCGGAGTGGACATGTTTGACTGCGTGTACGCTTGCCGCACGGCTCGCTTTGGTTCGGCGTTGACATCTACAGGAAAAATTCAAATCACGAAGAAGGCGTTTGCTAACGACATGGGACCCCTGGACCCTGCCTGTAACTGCAAGACATGCACGACGTTCTCCCGTGCGTACCTGCACCTTGTTGCGACCAAGGAGTCGCTCGGTTCTACCCTTCTTTCCTACCACAATGTGGCCTATCTCATCAACCTCACCCGCGGGGCGAGGGCGGCTATCGAGGCGGGGAGCTTCACGGAGTACGTGCAGAACTTCTTTGTGTCGTATTACCCCAAGCGGGACTACCCAAAGTGGGCAGTGGAGGCACTGTATTCCGTGGGCATTGAGCTTCCCTAACACGGCGGCATTCGCCTGGACAGGAAGGGCACACAAAAAAAAAAAACCGACGGAAAAGAGAAGAAAATCATCTTGGAAGGAAAAAAGAAAGAAAACAACAAAACAAAGAAGAAACGACACAAAGAGAGTTTTCAAACACAACTAATCGGGGCGCCTAAATATATATGCATGTGCCCGCCGTTCTTGTATGCGTGTTTTTTCTTGTTCAGTGGCACGTGGATTATAAATTGAATATTACAGGATAAATGGGTGCCCTTTCTCCTCCTTGGTTACTTCTGCTTTTTGTTTCCTCAGCGCATCAGGGAAGGCAAAGAAGGGGAAACAAGGTGCAAACAAACAATGGCAGAAGTTGTACAGGTGTCACTGCAGTGCTATATGGGGCGGTTCTGCCTGCCAGTAGACCCACAGCTGAGTATTCGTGAGACATTGCGATTCTTCCAACGGAGCGTGCCGGAGCTGGGTCAGGTGGACATGGACGCCTACGCGGTAAACTACAACGGGAAGTTGCTCCTGGAGGAAGCGAGCACATTAAAGAATGCCCAGGTTGGGGAGGATGGCGTCATGATACTTGTGAAGAAGAGCGATTGTCCCGCAGCAAACACCAACAAGGAGGAGGAGGAAGAGTGATGATGAAATGGGTTGCAAGTGCCGTTGTGTTGTTGTGAGCCTCTAGCGTGTGCATCCCCCCACAGTTAGAGATGTAATCAAAGTATGCAGACTCCAGCATGAATGGGCATTGCATGCAACCAGGTACACCGTGTGTCTACACTCAATAGCTTGCTGCCCGTTAGCACCCTTTGCTGCTTCCTCTTTCTATTTCGCGCCTTGCCTCTTCTTTGTCCTCCTTGTCTTCTTCTGCGCTGCTGTGCTTCCCGCCGTGTCCCGCTTCCCCACGAAGTGTGCAAAGGCTGCAACACCCTCGGGCCGTCGTCCCCGCTGCGTGGCCAGTCGAGAGAAAAGGAGCGGGTTCTTCGAGGCGGAGAGGTCAGTGGTGGCGCAGCACACACGAACCCCGAGCGGGCCGTTCTTCTAGCGTATAGGAAAGAGAAATAGTTTTTATTTTTATTTCTTCTTTTGATCACAAAGAAAAAAAAGGGTAGGAAGAAGAGAAAAAAAAAAGGAACGCGAGGCTCGGACGGCATGTATCATTCGCAAGGTGCCGCCTCGGGCGCTGGTGGCGGCGGTGGCGAAGCTCCCACCGCTGTCGCGGCGTATAGCCGCTTTCCAAAGATCTTGACGTTCGAGGTCAACCCGCAGGAAATAATGTTTCGTGACTTTGAGCCACACAAGACGTATGAGTCGCCGCTGCATCTCAAAAACACGACAAAAGAGACGCAATTTGTCCGAGTTGGGCAGCCGCAAAGTCGGGTTCTGGCGCTGAGGCCCCCGCGTCGTAATGTCACCTCCATGAAGGTTGCGCCTGGCCTTTCTGTCACCTATAAAGTGCTCTTTACACCTGAGGAGAACCGCAACTACTCTTGCGACCTTGTCGTCACAACCGAGGAGGAGGAATTTACTGTTGCCGTGCATGCCATCGCGAGCCGAGGCAAACTCACGTTGCCGGCGTCTTTTACAGTGGCACTGTGTCCTGTGAAAAGCACTGGCACGACAAGTTTGTTTCTCCGAAACACTGGAAAACTGGAGTGCCAGTGGCGCGCGGAGGCGTCTTCGCCCTTTGCTGTAACCCCATCCTCTGGACTGGTACCTCCAGATGGAGGTGTTTTTCCTGTAAGCGTGGAATTTGCGCCAATGAAGCTGCAGCAATATGAATCCACCATTCACTTCCTCCTTGGCCCGGAGGAAGATATGGTGCAAGAGCTGCCAGTCATTGGAACAGCGGTGGAGGTGGAGGTGGTGTTAGAGCAGAGCCAATTGGAGTTTCCAGGAACCTTTGTGACGCTGGAGAGCCAGGCTTTGGTGCGTGTGCGAAATGACAGTGGTTACACCGTCAATTTTTCATGGAAATCTGACCGCAGCGATGCAGAAGAATGGCGAGCCGTGGAGCGGAATCTGTTAGGACAGACTGAGGCCGTCTCGCATGCCGTCCTGGCAAGCTCACCAAATGAGGCAACTCGAAAACGTCTCAGGGAGGAGCGCGTCAAAACGCTTGCAAAGGGAGGACGCGTGTTTGACGATGATGTATTCACTCTCGAGCCTGCGAGCGGTACCATTTACGCAAAGGGTAGCAAAGAGTTTGTTGTCACGTTTAACCCACAACTCGCCATGGAATACCTTGCCACTGCGTACCTTGACATTGGTGGCAGGCGACAGCGAATTCCGCTTCAGGTGAAAGGAACCGGTCTTGGCCCCCAGTGCGTACTTGAGTACACCCGTCTTGATATTGGCGAAATCTTCGTTGGCGCCTTGCATGAGTACCAAGTGGCTATTATGAACAAGGGATGTATAGAGGCACGCTATGTCGTTCTCCCACAAGATACTCTCATGGGGCGAAAATTTGTGTTTCAGCCCGTCGAGGGCGTACTGGCGCCAGGGACGGAAGGTACTCTTTTTATTCAACTTCAGTCGGACCTTGTGGGTCTCATTTCTGAGACCTTCCGTATTCACTTGCATGGATCCCTTGAGGACTTGACACTGCGCATTCGAGGAAGTGTCACTGGACCGGCGCTTCAGTTTGACATGGATGAGTTAGACTTTGGAAATGTGTCCTACAACTGGCTACACTCCCGCATCTTGAAAATGTTAAACATTGGGCAGATTCCTATTAACTTCCGCCTCCGCATCCCCGAGTCGTGTCCGTTGCACGGGGTCGTTACGGTATCCCCGTCGGAGGGCACTCTTCCACCAAAGCAGCAGCAGGAAATACGCGTGAGTCTTACCTCCAACATTGTAGGGAACTGCGAGACAGTGTTACTCGTGGATGTGGAGGGAGTTGGCGACGGGGTGGATTCAATTCCCATCAAAGCGGCCTGTCTCGTGCCAACGCTTCAGCTTTCCACGGAAAAGTTACACTACGGTACATGCTTCGTCGGTCATGAGTATATCATGAATCTCGAGGTCGTCAACAAGACAGCCCTGCTTGGAAAGTATGAGGTGATTTTGCTGAATGAAGAGGGGGTTCGAGCGGCAAATGCCCTGGTCGTCATTGACTCCCCAGAGAGGTCACACACCGCCAAGGTGATCGAGCCTCGTAGTCGGTCTCTAGTGCCGATCAAACTGACACCATTGGCGGTTGGCGGGTTACACGTGACATTGTACGTCCGCGTGCTGGGCTCGGATGAACCGCCGCTGCCTCTTTTACTGACGGCGACAGCACGTGGCCCAACGGTAACGGTGGAACCCAAGTCCCTTGCGTTTGGAACACTGATGCTGTTGGAGCGTTCAGAGCGAGAATTTGTGCTAAATAATACGAGCCCTATTCCCGCCTTATTTTCCGCAAAGTTCATTCAAACTGCCGGGCGCAATGCCCGCCTTGTCTTTAGTGTTGATCAATCAAGGGGAAAAATTGACCCGTACAGCCGTACAACTGTCAAAGTGTCAGCGTGTCTTGACGACGCGCGGTCGTTTTCGGAGAAGATTCAAGTCATTGTGAGACACGCCGAAGACGATGCGCTGGTTATTCCTGTGACGGCATATGGTAAAGGGTACGCTTTGGTTCCCACTACACCCGTTGATAAAATTGATTTTGGCGACGTTTTCACCGAGACAATGGCAGAGAAGGAGATTTGTCTGCGTAACGATGGGCAGCGTGCCATTGAAGTGTTGTGGAGTGGCAGTCGCGGCACTCGTGTCGTAGTAGGTGGACCGCCGATTGTGTACCGTATCCTTCCGGAGACCGCCGTGATCGGTGCCGGAAGCTGCTGCACATTCACGGTTCAAGGCTTGGCCGATGCGGCTGGGGTTGTCACGGAGGAATTTGTCTTGAAGGATAAGAAGGAATTCAAACCGATTCTCGTCACAAGTGTCACGGGGAACTTTGTCCTGCCTGTGATTGCCTACAGCACGAAGCGGGTGGTCTTTGACTATGTTTACGGTGCCGAGGGTGAGCTGGGCAATGCGGTTATGATGCGGACGTTTACGATGAAGAATACGACGACGCAATCGCTGAATGTGACACTGAGGCGTGTGGAGGCGCCCGCTGGCTCCCATTCTCCCTTCACCTTGATCAGCCCCACATCCTTCACGCTTTTGCGTGGGGAAACGCACATTGTGGCTGTCAATTGCGACGCCCACTACCGCCACGACTACGTCGCCCACACCGCAAAGGGCCGCATTTTGGTCGCATTCACCAACCATCCCTTCACAGAGTACGTGGGCCTGGTGGGGAATATTGCATTTCCAACCATTGGCATTGAGCCAGAGTGCCGACAAGTAAATTTTGGCTCTATTCTCACCGACACAGAGGGGCGGTCGGAGCTTACGCTTACCAACCTATCATCGTTAGTTGCGGCCGAATTTGTGTGGAGTATCGAGTACCACAATGAGGTCCCATCAGTCCAATCGGAGACGATGCAAAAGCGCTTTGATTTTGTCCCATTTAGGGGAGTTATTCCTCCAGGAGGAAAACGCGTTGTTGAGGCCGTGTTCTATGGCACCCGAGGTCGGCATGAGGCCACTGCCACATGCATGCTAAAAGGGGGCCCAAGTTATGATGTGAGTCTGATTGGTTGGAGTGACGCCGCCGTGCGGTTTGACTGCACAAGTCTTGATTTTGGGGTGATGCATTACTCGGAAAGGCAGAAAAAGACCATCTCCATCTCCAGTCCTTCGCGGGTTGCCGTTCCCTTTACGGTGGACACCGCGACACTAAAACAGCCTGGATCTTTAGTGGTGAAGCCGCAGAGTGGCACGGTGACCAATAAAGTTGTGTTGTCCGTCTCGTTTTGCCCGATGATTCCAGATGAGGTTGTAGAGACGTTCTCCGTACAGGTTGGTCACCTTGATCCACAACTCATTACAGTGCGGGGCATGGGCCAGGCGCACACCATCCTGGTATCTTCCCCCGACAAGGGTTTGATGCTGACCCGGGTGGAGGATCCACAGTACGCGCGTTGCCTGGAGGAACTCAAGGAGAAGGAGTGGGTGCCGTACCTTGAGAGGTCTGGTTTCCCGCAAGCATTGCCGGATGTGGCGCCCCTTGTACTGGAGGCGGAGCGGCAGGCGTACTGTCGTAATCTTGTTCTTGCAGCAACGACCCCAACGACCCCAACAGCACTTTTTCCTCCCGCCGCGCGTGCGAAGGACGTCGATGCTGAGGCTTCAAGGATAGATGAGCAGACGCTGCTTGCGCGGTACGCGATAGACTTTGGACACATGACGCGACTGGAGGTGCGTACCGTCAAGTTGTCCTTGACCAATACGTCTATCTACCCTGTGGGTGTCGTTTTGGACAGACACGTGGTGGAGCCGGGTCCGCTGCATATGGAGCCACGAAAGATTCCCACAATGGCCCCGTTTTCGAAAGTCGAGGTGGTGCTCTCACTGACTCCTAGTGACACTGAAAAAGTTGCTAATGGCGCAAATCAATTTGAGTTTTTGCTGAATATTAATAAGGGCCCACGCGTCGCTGTTGAGGTACGTTGTTTTGTTGCGACACCCGCCTTAACGCCGTGTGAGACCGTCCTTGACTTTGGTGATGTGCTGCTTGGACGAGTTAAGAAAATTCCCCTGCACTTCTACAACGCGGAGGCTATCCCGTGTACGTGGCGGATGACATTGATTGAATCCAAGCGGAGAACAGGTACAGACTCGGACACCGAAGCTGCCGCTACTGCTTTTTCCAACCCATCGTCGCTTGCCCCCAGGCGGCAGTTCAAAGTCAATAAAGAACGTGGAACACTACCTCCTCAGACTTGTATGAGTGTCATGGTGAGTTTTATGTCTTTCGTTCGCGGCCCCGCAAAGGCTAGACTGCGGTTGCGCTATGCCTCAAACCCGGATGAGCAATATGTGGTATTTAAGGGCAACGTTGTTTGTGTGAATGTGGAGTTGTCTCCCTCCCCGCTGGTCTTTCCCCCGATGCTTCCGTGGCAAACCATGAAAAACAGCTTCATCATCACCAACAACGAGGAACGGCCGGTGGAGGTGTTCAACATGAACCTCGACGAGAGACATCGCGTGTGTGTTGGTGTCCTGCAACGTGCCTTGGAGATGCAAAAGCCGCTGGCGAGAGGGGAATGTGAACTTCATTTACCTATTCGAGAGCCCGGCGAATATCTGCCGCAATCCCTCTTGGAGTTTGTCTTTACCGATGTGCAACGGGAGGAGTTGACGCTGGAATACAAGGATGCAGATGCATTAGATGGCGATACCGCACGTGAGGGGCTCGCCTCAAGTCACGCCTTCCCCAAACGGTCACGACACTCCCAGCTGCGTATGGAAGCGCCGGCGTCGTTATCGCGCCCCTTGGACGGCTCCCCAAGCGAGACATCTGAATCCCTAACCTTGAGCAGAGGTAAACCACAACTTGTGATTGTCACAGGGCCGCCGTTTTCCGGAAAGACGACACAAATACGGCAGTTGCTGCAGACAGCGGACATGCTGCAGATCGATCTGGATGCCATGGTGCGCGCGGAAGCAGAATTTGACACAGCGGAGGGGGAGCTAATTCGCACCATCCTCACTGAGCGGGAAGAGAACCGTGCGGCGCGGGCTGGCGGCGATGCCGTCAACGATTACACTCCGCTTCCGGTAGAGAAGCTTCTTAGCTCCAATGAGGTGAAAATACTTTATGCACTTTTGCTACGTCATCTTTCCACAGTAAAGTATGCCATGGTTGTGGTGATAGATGATGTTAAATCAATTCTTACGGTTGATCGGGAGGCGGTATTGCTTGCCATTGGAAGTGCCGCCACTGCCACGGGACGGACACTGCAGATTATTTCCCTCGGCGTGAGTGAGGCAACAGCGGGGTTTCGGCGAAGCCTTGAGGTGCAAGAGAAATGTCGTGAGACCGTGGAGGCGGCCGTGACAGCGCCCCTTACTGAGCAGGAATATGAGCAGTTGGGTGCAGAGGAGCGTGAGGTGTACAATCGTCGTCTGCTGCACTTTAATGCATGTAAACGGGCCCTTGCTGAGGCCTCTAGTGAGGTCTCACGCTACGCTGCGGAGCTGGAACGCAGCCCACAGCCAACCGTACAAGAGGACGTGGATGCACAACTAGCCGCAAAGGAGGAGCAGGAGTCACCTGCGCGAGTGGGCTCGAAAGGTAAAAAATCTGTGCCACAGCCGCATCCCAGGCCGCGCTGGGCCCAACTCTCTGAGCTCGACCAATACAAGGAACTCTACACACAACTGCGCCGCGCGGAGGGGGGTGCTGTGCACGTTGTGCTTAACGGGGAGGAGGCGGAAAAGCATGTAAATTCGTCTATCGTGAGGCAGATATTGTCGCCCAACTATGCCCTGCCCCAAACACCAACTACCCCACAGCCAAGCGAGGAAGCAGGATCTCATCAAGTGAGTATGGGATTTTTGCCGAATGATAGGTCTAGTGGTGTTTGGGAGCTAATTACGGAAGAGACGTTGGGGAGCAAGAACAGTCAGTGCGACCAATTTCGCTTCTTCACTCCTGTTCAGCGAGAGGCAGTGGTAAAGAAGGCGGCAAAGGGGGCTCCCCTGCAGACGATGTTGGCAATGGAGGAAGCCACACGGTGGGTGGTGCCGCCCAAGTCATCGGTAGAAGTTACTGTTGTTTTTTGTAGCGATAAATTGGGCCAACTGAATTTTCCCTTCACGTTTGGTGTGACGGGCACAAGTCAGGAAATTAACTTGCCTGTCGTCGCCTGCACCGCATATCCGGAGATTTGCCGAGATGACAAGAAAATATTTTCCGTCACCAAGTCACGCCTCGTCGCCGGCAGACAACCAAGCCGTGTATTTGTGACGTCGAAGAGGACGTATGACTTTGGTCCGCTTATTGTCCCTGGGGGGACGATCGGTGCGCAGGGGCCAACGACAAGGAAAGGTAGAAGAATGAGCGAATTGGGAAACAGTATAACCAAGATTGGTATCCCCTCTGGCAAGGACAATGTCGCACAGGATACAATGACCTTCACAAACACTGGCATCTTCCCTGCAGATGTCTCGCTACTATTTGGAAAAGAAAAAGAGAGCACGTTCTCTGTGACGCCAAATAAGTTTACTTTGCCTGTGGGAGAAACGGCTAGTGTGGTGCTGCGCGCTGTCCCTGAAACTATTGGAGAAGTCTCATCAACCCTCGTTGTGACCGTGCGAGACAATCCCACACCCTGGTTTGTGAATGTCTCTTGCATAGGCACGCGGCCAGCGGTAACCCTGGACGGAAAGAAGGATTTGCTGGTGCAATATGGACGCTGCCTCATAACGCGTCAGGAGGAGAAAGTAATTACCATCGCCAATGACAGCTTGATGCCTATTCGTTGGCGCATTGCAGGAGTTGATAATCTTCCAATGGAGTTTGCGCTAAACTCCACTTCTGGCCTTCTGGACGTGAATGGCATTTACCCGTTGGAGGTTGTCTTCAAACCCACTCGTCCTGGTGTTCACAATGTGGCACTGAAGGTGGAGGTCACCGACGCCGAGGAGACCTTGTTTGAGTCACTGCCTTTAACAATCAAGGCGGAGGCGCACGATGTGGTGGTGGAGTGGTCGCGTCGTGTGGATTTTAAACTTATGCATGTGGGTGAAACAAGGAAGGAGACGGTACTCATCCTCAACAAAAGTGCATACGAGGTGGGCTACCTGCTGCGATTGCCCAAGCCCCTCCAGGGGCTTATCACGCTTAATCCGAGTGAGGGGATAATGCGTGGTTTGGTGGGTTTCAAGGACGCATCACTGGCAACCGTGGAGGTGACTATTCGCTTTGACAGGGAAGGCGAGATCCCGGCATCACTTGGTGTGATTGAGGCCTCCTTCTTTGACCCTCTCGCAAATGAACTGCTTTTTCCTGTGCAAAGTATTCCTGTGAGCGGGGAAGCATGGTACAATCGATTTAGTATTAAACCATCTTGTATAGACTTCGGATCATGTGTTGCCAATCAGAGTAAGCAGTGCTCGTTTGAGCTGCGCAACACTGGACGGTTTCCGCTCAACTTTAGACTTTTTAACTACAAAAATGGGCCTGCGCTGCCGCAGCAGGATGATGAAGAAGGCGTTGAGAAAAAGCACCGAAAAGCTGCAAAATCAGACGCTGTGTTTCAATTGGGTGCCTTTACGGTCTCGCCAAGCACCGGCAGTGTTGCTGTCGGGGATAGTTTTCTGTTTCAGGTGGTCACCGTGCAAGGAACAGGGTCCAGTCACAAGGAGACGCTTGGCATCTACGTAGACCACTGTGACCCGGAGACGGAGGCAAAAGGAATACCTTTTGAGCTTGTCGCCTCCATAACAACGCCCGGTATTGTAGCCGACCTCTCATCTCTGGTGGATGTGGAGACGATTTTCGAAGAGCAACAGGTGGTGACAAGCCACTCCCAACGCAACAAGGCCTCGCGTGTGTACTCAAGGGACAGCCGCACCTTCTACTTTGGGTCCACCCTCGTTGGCAGTCGGGTGGAGGAGCGCTTCCGCATTGCCAATTGCAGCCCACTCACATGCACTGTTAAACTGCAACTTCTACCGCCAAACCCACGCGACGGGAAGGAAAGGGAAAAGAAGGAGACAGAGCCCTTACTTTACCTGGATGGATTTCAGCTGTTGGTTGATGGGGAACCGGAGAAGACCAATAGGCTGCAGCTGCCATCGTTTGAGAGTCGCTTTGTCACGGTCAGCTTCAGTCCTCCCACGCTACAGTCTTTCCAGGCCCGGTTTGAGGCGGTGGTGATTGGTGGAACCGATCCAAAGACGAGTGCCCTGGTGTTTGATCTCGCCGGGGAGGGTGTTCTACCGACGGTGGAGTACATTCTTCCACCGCGGCTGCAGATACCATTTAACATCAGTTTGCCATCGCCGGTGAAAAAAATCGGAAAGGGAAAAGGAAAAGATTTAAGGAAAGTTACGGTGCAGCATATGTTGAACACTGCAACGGATAATATTTTTGCCGACACTATTCAGTTGCCACTGACGCTGATTGGAAGCGTGACGTCAAGAACGTTTACGGTGCGTAATTCAGGGGAGGTGGATGCACACATTCGTCTGTCGACACCAGATATGTTCCCGAATGACATTGTTGTCTCGAATTTGAGACGCGACATATTTCTTCCTGTGGGTGGTGCCGAATCCTTCACACTATCTTTTACGCCCACGTCGATAGAAAAACATCGGGTGCGGTTGCGTGTTTCTGTGACAGAAAACCCATACGAAGACCGTGAGTTGTGGGTTGAGGCTGAAAGTTACTTCAGCCCCCTCAGTTTTGAAAACATTGACCCTGGAAGCGAGGACCAACTCACGTTGGGCCATTGCTACGTCTCCCAGCCGGTCGAGCGTACGGTGGTGCTGTGCAATAACAGTCCACATGCGATTCGCTTCGAATGGGGTTGTCCCTCTTCCATCCTTCAGTGCAGCCCACGGGTGGGCCACATTTCACCAGGCTCATCAAAGCAATTAACGTTGCGGCTTTACACGGACACGGTGTCGGGCGAGACAATTTCATGCGTCTTCCGAGTGACATCTATTGAAGTGCAGGGAGGGGAGGATTGGGACGATGCGCAGTCCAAAGCGAGGTGGGTTGTCGCTCACTCTGAGGGGGCGGAGCCTGGCAGAGTCTCCATCTCCTCGGACAATGAGACTCGTAAGAACCTTCGTAGAGTCTTTGAGACAGTTCCAGAGCCCTTGTACAATGTCACCAATGATATCGGGATACAGAAGCCGCTTTACGTCAGCTATGCCTGTGAGTTTGCCTCCTACAAGGTCACGCTACCTATGAACAACGATGTGGAAATTTCCGACACTCTCACGTTTCCCTCAACAAAGATCTTCCAGAGGCGAACCACCGTGCTTCGAGTACAAAACACGGGGCCGAATGTGTTGCCTTTCGCTTTTGAAGTAAATGATCCTGCGCGACGGTCGGGTACTGAGCCGGATATAACTAGCATATTCACTGTAGAGCCCGCCTCAGGCAGGGTTGAGCCTCACACGTATCAAGATGTGCGTGTGACGTTTGCACCAAGGACTATTGAGGATGTTTCTCAGGCGCTTATTGGTTCCTTCCCCCACAGTCTTCAGCCCAAATTTTTTGTTTCGCTTCAAGGGACGGCAGAGTGTCCTTTGGTTCATTTCAACGTACCCCCGTGTGATTACTTGGATTCCCGTGTCGATGGTGAGGCGGGACCCGAGTTGAACCCCGACACTATTCCGATCATGTTTCGCTCATGTGGGCTGCAGAGCAAGTCCACGGTCTGCTTTAAAGTCATCAATCCCAGCACGACAACGTATCGCTTTGAGTGGATTAGCGATCCATTGTCGCAGCGCATTTCGCCCTTCCGTTGTCTGACGCCCTCTGGCTCTATTTCAGCTGGAAAACAGTACGAGATGACGTTTGATTACACCTCCAGCTCCATCGGCCTCCGTGAGGCGAAATGGACATTTTTCATTTCAGGCCATATTTCAGTTCCATTTCTGTTGGTGGGTAAAACAGAGGAGCCCAACGTGTTTCTGCATGTGACGCGGGTGAACTTTGGTGGCGTGACGGTGGGTACCAAGGATGAACGCATCATTGAGCTCGAGAATCGTGAGGATATCTCCTTTCCCTTCTCCTTTGACCGTTCGGTGCTGAGCAACGACAACAACGCGGTGGGTGTGAAACCGCTGGGTGGGACCCTCCCTCCGCGGTCCACCATCCCTCTCACGATATCGTTTACTCCAAAGGATGAGATCTCGGTGAACACCAGGTTGCTCTGCCGAGTAAAGCGGATGAGTGACCCGCTCACGATAAATGTGAAGGGTGAGGGTCTTCGTATTCATTCCTCGCTGGCGATCGAGGACGAAGACGCAGATGACACGGCAGAGCCTGTTATCGTGCCACCGTCACAGGTGTTTCATTTGAACTTGGGCCGTGTGCAGGTCGAGAATGTGGTTCAAAAGCGTTTTGTCCTCACGAACGAAGGTCAGTGCCCCATGGACTACGTCATGGCGGTACCAGAGCAACGCTTCATTAAAGTCGATCCTCTCTCCGGCACGGTGGCCCCGAAGCAGCGAGCTGTGATTATGCTGGTTTATTCCCCCACCGAGGAGGAGACGTTGCGCAACTTTAAGATCCAATGCAGAGTCGCGAGGACGATTACATACAGCATTCGATTAGCAGTCGTCAGTTATGTGCCGAAGGTGCAATTTGGATTCATGAAGCACGATTTTGGTCCCTGCTTTATCACGGAGTTCTCCTCCGACGCCACCGTGAGTAAGTCTCTGACGATGCTGAACATGGAGGCCAAGGAGAGTGTGGCACTAGACTGTCTTCTTTCTCACGGGGACATTTTTGATTTGGATGGCAACTCCTTTGTGCTCTCCCCTGGCGAGGCGCGGAATCTCAATATCAGCTTTGCCCCGTTTGAGGTGGGAGACTTCAAGAGTGAACTCCGAATCACCCTCAACGGCAGTTACTCTTTCTTCATCCCACTTAAAGGGGAGGGAGTCATTCCGCGCATTGATGTGCCTGTTCGTTCGCTAAAGTTGGGCGTCGCCCGCATTGGCGAACGACGCGTGGCTGAGCTGCGGTTAGATTGTCGAAGTCGCGCCATAACCCCAGTCTCCCTGGTCAACTGTGTGGATGCGGATCTGCAGCAGAAGGGCATTTCGATTGTTCCCGCAGAGCTTTTTCTCATGCGACCCCGTGAGACTCGCACGATTACGGTTTCTTTTAGACCTAGTGCCCGTATGCCGGAGTTCCAGCGGGAGCTGCGAATGATTGTCTGTGGACGGGAGATGCCACTTGCTATTATCTCGGCTTCCTGCGAGGACGCGGAGGTTCACTTGGACATTCAAAATATTCTCTTCGATGACGTTGTGGTGGGCGCCACCGCCTCTCGCCGTATTGTCATTATGAATAGTGGCGACTTCGCCCAACGCTTCAAGTGGGACCCTACGCTTTTGCCGCAGGGTGAAATGCGGGTTCTCCCGTCCGCCGGCTCCGTGCACGCCCACTCGGAACAGGTGTGTGAGTTTGTCTACATCCCAAAGAAGCCAGGGAGCGTCTTTCGGCGCGCCGTGTCTGTAGAATTTGATGACGCCCCAGCCTTGTCCGTTAACGTGGAGGCGCACGCGGTGGAACGACCCAAGGTGGAGGCGGTTTTGTCATTTGAGTGCTGTGCACGAGACACCGTAGCAAAGACGGTGACTGTGGAGAACCCCACGGACGCTGCGTGGACAGTCAAACCCCTTATTGAAGGCCGGCTTTGGACGGCACCAAAGACGTTGCAAATAAACCCAAGGAGCACCGCCGTGTTGTCTGTGACGTACGCCCCACTGTTTGTGACTAAAGAGAAGGATATCGCCACTCTCTTCATCCCACTTCCCAACGGATCTGCCCGCAACATTCAATTGGAAGGTGTGGCGTCACACCCTGTGGAGGAGGCGATTGTCAAGGAAAAGATAATTGAGGCGAATACCCCACATCTTGAGACATTTGAGATACATAACGGCACATCTCAGCCGTTGCGCTTCCACGTCAGTGTTCAATGGAGCCCAGAACCGGAGAAGGGCATGGTAACTGTCAAGGCACCTGTGAGCATCGATGTGCCTGCAAAGCAGACCAAATCTTGCCCTATTACGTTTTCTTCGCTAAAGGAGGGTAGTCTCCGCGGGACTGCGCAATTCCGCTGCATCGAGCGTGAGGATTACACCCAAGTTTTTGATGTGGCGCTGCTTGTTGTGCCAAAAACGGTGTCTTCAAAATCACAACTCGTGGCTGCCGTACGCAGCGCTGCCACGTATATTATGTCCATTACGAACCCCTTGGAGAAGAATGTTACTGTCAGTACGCGTGTGGAGAATGGCAGCGATGTCGTTTTTGTTGACCCTTCCATCACGATTCCACGTAAAAGTACTGCGGATATTCCCATCCGCTTCTTCCCTCTCCTGCATAAGGAGTATCCAGCGGCGACCGTTACCGCGACAAGCGCGGAGCTTGGCACAGTCTCCTGTAAACTCCATCTTCGTTCGAATCCACCTGGGCCAGAGAAGGTGACACGCGTCACATGCCCTCTCGGACAGACTGTCGTATTTCCACTTCGCTTCAAGCACTACTGCTAAATCCAACTGCGATTTTGCCGTTCGCATCGGTTCCAAGGTGACTCCCTTCTCAAAGGTTGGGAACTCCAGCAGCGTCAAGGCGCCAGGAACAACGCGGCCGGAGGGACAAGAGGTGGTGGTGGAGATTCAGTATGAGCCGACGATGGTTGGCGAGACAAAGGAATTCATTGAGGTCTTCTCGCCTCAAGCGGGCCTTTACACGTTTCCTGTTCTGGCCTCATGTTTGCCGCCGCAGCGCCAAGGACCATACCTTCTGCGGCCGGGGCAGATGACCTCCATTCCGTTCCGAAACGTTTTTCCGGAGCCCATCACAGTCACGCTGTTGACAGACTCGCCCAGCTTCGTGGTGCCCAAGACGACAGAGAATGTGGCGGCGAAGAAAACCATCAACATTCAGGTGATGCACAGACCGGAGGAGGGCGGTCAAGGCCTGCAGACGTGCAAACTCACCGTCTCTGGCGCCTACCATGGCGAGACGTTGCGGTGGGTGTACTACCTGAAGTTGGCCATACCGAATTTGCCGCCCTCCGACTCAGTGTCGCCCGTCAGACGGAGGGAGTAGTGCCTCTATTTTGCTCCTCTCAACTGCCAGTGAGCTCCGGACAGGAGAGTGAACGACGCTGGCCGTATATGCGTATATATATATATATATATATATAATTTATTTAATTAAAAGAGACATCGCAGCATGTATGTACATAACAAATGTTCAGTGCTCCATCGCTTCCAAGATGCACATCCACACACACACACACACACCTATATATATATA